TCGGCTGCGCCAATTGGCTTTGGGGAGGGGTTTCGCAGCCTAATCAGAAGAAATGGCGTGAAACCCGATTTCACCATTCTGCTGAAAGGCGCGAAACCAATTAGCACCAATCAGTGCCCACACACATGCTCTGCACCCCCTCACACACTTTACGCAGCAACCCTCACACACTCTGCACCTTTCACACACACACTGCAGCCCTCACAAACACACACTGCACCTCTCACACACACACACTACACCCCTCTCACACACACTACACTCCTCTCACACACACACACACTGCGAGTAGCAACATCATCAATACAAGCTAAAATCACACCAAAGAGAAGCAGTTCCAGCCATCACATTAGTTAATTAAATATTTGATGTTTTAAATATCCAAATGGCCGTTGGTAGATAAAAGGTTCCCCACCCCTGCTATAAACATACAGACCACTGTCTACTAGACAGCCACTAGAAGTGCTTCCTGCAGTTTCTGTGAGTTTGACTACATGAAAGGACACTGGACGCCCTCACTCTTTTAATGAGGAGGTCCAGCATTTTCTAAAACCCCATGGGAAAGCATTGAGGCAATGATCGCCTACGGGGAGTGCCGAATGTGCACATGACACTCACCTTGCATGCGCATTAAAGGGACATTATAGGCACCAAAACAACTTTAGCTTAATGAAACAGTTTTGGTGTATAGATCATGCCCCTGCAGTCTCACTGCTCAATTCTCTGCCATTTAGGCGTTAAATCATTTTGTTTATAAACCATGGTCACACATCCCTGCATGTGACTTGCACAGCCTTCATAACCACTTCCTGTAAAGAGTAATCTAATGTTTATCCTTCCTTTATTGCAAGTTCTGTTTAATTTAGATTTTCTTATCCCCTGCTATGTGAATAGCTTGCTAGACCCTGCAAGAGCCTCTTGTATGTGATAAAAGTTACATTTACAGAGCAAGAGATAAAATTGTTTAAGATAAATTACATCTGATATAACGTGAAACCATTTTTTTCATGCAGGCTCTGTTAATCAGAGCCCAGGGAGGTCTAGCAATGCTGCATAAATAGAAATAAAGTGATTTGACTCCTAAATGGCAGTGAATTGAGCAGTGAAACTTCAGAGGCATGATCTATACACTAAAACGTCTTCTTCAAGCTAAATTTGTTTAGGTGACTATAGTGTCCCTTTAAGGTCTCCCATTTGTAACCCTGTCATGGATTGGGGGACAGGATTGGGGGGACAAGGGGACATTTTAGTGTTCAGAATAAGTTTTTGTATTTCCAATACTAAAATGTTCTTTTAAGACATGCAAATAGATTGAGTGATAGTTAAAATGGTCCAAAATTTTACAATGAGCATTTAGGCAGTGCAGGTGCCAAAATAAAGTCAACTATTCCTTCTAACTAAATCTATGAAATAGGAGGATAGCTAGAGAATATTGGCCAGGGAATTATGTTTTAGGGAGAAAGGAGAATAAAGTGAAAAAGTTAAATACTCGTGTCTGCTATGGTGTATTTTCTTGCCTGCTATCTGACCCTCTGTTGCTTCACCCTTAATGGTGAGGCAGTATAATAAATCGCAAAACAAACTAGAGTTCAAGGTCAGTGCAGAACCTATGCGGCTGTCAAGCAGTTCAAGGTTTTTCATTAATTAGTGGGGGTGTCAGGTTCTTAAAATTAGATAATATATTTTAGAGCATTTTGGCTCCTAATCAGGGTTTCGAAGCGGTGGAGCTCAAGGAGATTTTTATGTCCAGATGCTAATGATCTTTTTTTCCTACTTACTGAAGTCTTAATGGTGATATAAGAATATATATATATATAATATAGGTAACTGCAATGTCAAAAGTTAGAATGTAGATTGATAAGATATTTTTAGAAGATGGATTCTAATACACCTTGGTACAGTAAAATGTGTATTTTTTATTTCAAAATTTGGACTTTCAGCATCAGGGGTTAATGTTGCTTTCATTTTTACTAATTGCTTCCTTGTGTTTAATAATCATTTTTTTTTTTTTTTTTTATAATTCTTTATTTTTGCAGTGCATATCAAGGGTATACATGTCAGCTTGTGGTAGATTGCGAGAAACAGATAATGGTTGCAGGACATATTATTAGAACAGTAATCAGAAAAAAACAATGCACTTTATTATATAGCATAGACAAACAGTCCGGAGTCAGAATTTCAGGTTAGATTCTGTTATAGTTGTCAGGTTAGGTATGGCTTGCTCGTGGGTTGAGCAATGTCTTATTGTGTAGGTGGCGCAAGTAAGTATCACCCTGCGTTCTTGTGCAGCCTGATTGTAAATATGTGGTTCGGGCGGGGGGAGGGGCTTGGGTTGCTATGTGTGTGCTGGCATGCGGGTTGTCTCGACCTAGCCAGGTCTGATCATGAGACCTCCAGGATGGGTCGGTAGTAAATGCCTCTACCTATTGTCTAGCTTGCCGGTGCAGGGTGTGTGGGGTTGAGTTATACTGTGCGGCCAATTATTTCCGACCCCTTACCTAAGGGGGATACGGGGGGGGCGTCTTTAGCGTGCTCGGGCTGGAGCCGTTAGTAAAAGAGGTAAGGGTATAAATTGGAGTAACTTGCGTGTGACAGATTAATTTAAATTATACATAACATGCATAGGACGTATACAAGAGAATTAGGCATAAGAGGACACCGTTGCTGGCACACGATTCATATGACTGCCTCCTTTCCCTTGTTTCTTTGTGGGACGAATGGGACAGTACTGCCAGGGTCCCAAGTGTGTAGTAGTGGTTGAGTAGAAGGGGTCGTATCTCCCTGTGCAATGCCCAGCGACTGAAGGAAGGATGAGGTCTCCGATACCAAGGTGAGTTTCAGGATGGTATTGTCCCGGGTGACCGCTAGGGCCCTAGGCAGGAGCCATCTGTAATCCACCTTCGCTGTGAGGAGGAGGGTGGTAATTGGCGTCAGCGTTTTTCTCCATAGTTGTGTGTTACGGGTAATGTCCTGAAAAAAGGTAAGCTGGGAGGATTCAAATGTGTATGGGGTCTTGTCCCGTACTGCTGGACTTTCAGCATCAGGGGTTAATGTTGCTTTCATTTTTACTAATTGCTTCCTGGTGTTTAATAATCATTTTTCTTTTATTTTTTTATTTTTTATAATTCTTTATTTTTGCAGTGCATATCAAGGGTATACATGTCAGCTTGTGGTAGATTGCAAGAAACAGATAATGGTTGCAGGACATATTATTAGAACAGTAATCAGAAAAAAACAATGCACTTTATTACATAGTATAGACAAACAGTCTACTTTGTCCAGTAGAGAGTGGCATCTCACTATGACATCCCTTGGGGCTGTTATGGGTGCCTGCTTGGCTTTGTTGATTCGGAATTGTCCATCAAATTCCATCTTTTTGGCTTGCGTGTGTGGCAGGAGTTCAGCATTGAGTCTTCTTAAGTAGTGCGGTAGTTCGGTTGTGCCAACGGTGTCTGGGATTCCCTTTATAGTTTTCTGTCTGCTACGGTCCTCTATAGTGTCCAGTTTTGTTTGGACTGCTGTGTTTGCAGATTGCAGTTGGCGGAGGGTGTCCCCCATGTCCTTCACCTCCTGAAGTTGTCTTCTGCGGCCTGGACTCTTGTGGTCACAGCATGTTATCACCCTCACCTTGTAGAGTGTGTTGTGATTGGGGTTGTTGATGTTCCCCCTGGTCCTCAGGGCTCATCGCTAAGCAGTTAGAGCCCGTCTCTGGGTCAGGCTCCGCCGCCATTTTGTGGCTCGTGGGTCGCTGGAGCAGAGTCCCGATGTCTCGGGTGTCTTTGGCCGCTCCCGCTGGCTGTTTTGGGGTTTGCGTCCCATTTCTTCGTCGAGAGGTAACGACTGCTTGTTTGTGGGCGGTGTCTGGTACCCGAGAACTTGGAGCAGCTGCAAGGATAGCCGCGAGGCCTCTGTTGGTGATGGGGCAAGGTAGGCCTGACTTTTGCCGCGGGTTTTTCTGCCCTTTTGAGCAAATAAGAAGGGCATCAGCGGGTGTCCCCTTGTGACTGGGAGGTTTGGGTGTTTTTCCCGCCTGGCTGGGACTCAGTGTGGCCCTGGATGGCTTTAGATTTGCCGATGATCCAGGGGAGCTCTGAGAGATGGCGTCCATACGGCTCTGAGGTTAAGCTCCGCCCCCTAATAATCATTTTTCTTTTAAAACAATTTGACAGATTACACTGGAGGGGAACCCCGGGCACCAGAACCACTCCAAGCAGCACGGTGCAAGCGCATCATTAGAAACACTTGCATTGTGTAGCAGACACTAGGACCTTCAGCAGAGCTCCCTGCATGGTCCTGTAGGCTGGGGGCAAACACAACCTACCGCCTGGCCTTTTTTGGGATGGTACCATCTATTATGGTCATGCTGTGGGTCACATCAGTGGTGATGACTTACATGGCCCCGCCCACCCTGCTCCGATACAAAGGTTGGAATGAATGCATTAGATCCACCACTGGTCGTAGCATATATATTTTAACCTAAATATTGCAATTCAGATTTGATTTAACTATAGATTTACATTTCGTGAATAACCACCCTTCTGTTGTAGTTTTGAGATGTGAATATGACTGTTTGTATGTGTATTGAAACGGTCAGCTTTTTTCTTCTTGCATGTGGGAGCAGAACTAGCAGAAAGACATGAGAAAAAAATTCTGAAAAAGTGAAAGATGAGCAAAAGAGTCAAAACAGAAAAAATAGGCAGAAATCAGTGTGATACTTTTAAATAAACGTCTGCGGGTCCCCTACACAGTGCAAATACACAAAAATAGTTCCTAGGCTCCAGGGGCGGGCTGGGCCGGGGGGCAGGGAGGCAATTGCCCCCCAGGCCGCCCTAAAATATGTTGGGACCGGCCGCTGCAGGGCCGGCCCTTTAAATGCTGCAGCCGCCTGAGCGCTCTGTTAAGAGCCTCAGGCGGCTGCGGCTGCTCCTCTCCTCCCCTCCCCTGTAGCGTGGCCGAGCTGCTTGCTGGTCCGCGGTGCCCGGCCGGACTGATAGGAAGGCGCACGCTGAGTGTGCACTTCCTGTCAGTCCGGCCGGTTACAGGAAACAGAAACTCCAGTTCCGTGCGGAGTTTCTGTTTCCTGTAACTGGCCGGACTGACAGGAAGTGCACACTCAGCGTGCACCTTCCTATCAGTCCGGCCGGCACCGCGGACCAGCAAGCAGCTCGGCCACGCTACAGGGGAGGGCAAGGGAGAGGTGAGGAGGGGGGGAGAAGTAAGTGAAGGGGGGGGAGAAGTAAGATGGGGGGTGTTAATGAAGGAGTGCGGTGTAAATGAAGGATGGGGGTGTAAATGAAGGATGGGGGGAGTAAGTGAAGATGGGGGGAGTAAGTGAAGATGGGGGGTGTAAGTGATGGGGGGAGTAAGTGAAGATGGGGGGTGTAAATGAAGGAGGGGGGAGAAAGTGAAAGAGGGGGGAGTAAGTGAAGGGAGGGAGTAAGTGAAGGAGGGGGGAGTAACAGAAGGTGGAGGAGGGGGAGTAAGAAGAAGAAGGGGGGTATGAAAAACGGGGGGTAAGAAGAACAAGGGTGGAGTAAGAAGAACACAAGGAGGAGGGGGAGAGTAAGAGTGAGGAGAAGGGGAGATGAGGAGAAGGGGGGACTGAGAAGAACACAGGGAGGGTGGGTGGTGAGGAGAACACAGGGAGGGGGAGGTGAGGAGGACACAGGGAGGAGAGGACACTACGCGCACACACACACACAATGCATCCCTACACACACAGAAACACAACATGCTTCCCTTACACACAGAGAAACACACAATGCATCCATTACACACAAACAATGCAACACTTACACACAAAGACAATCCATCCTTTGCACACATACACAGAAACACATAATGCAAACACTTACACACACACTGCTTTTCTTACATACACACAGAAACACAATGCATCACTAACACACACTCAATGCACACACTTACAGACACACACCTTGCATCCCTTATGCATACAAACACAGATTCACACAATGCATCCCTTACACACAACCAGAAACACACAATACATCCCTTATACACAAATACATACTGCTTCCACAACACACAAACACACTGCATCACCTGCACAAACTGGTATCCCTATACACTACATACCATAAGCACACATATTAGATCCTCTACAACAGGGGTTCTCAACCCAGTCCTCAGGACCCGCTACCAGTCCAGGATTTGGGGATTACCTGGGTGTGTCTCAGGTGTTTAGAAAAAGGGAAAAAACACCTTAGACACACCCAGGTAATCCCTAAACCCTGGACTGGTAGGGGGTCCTGAGGACTAACGTTGAGAACCCCTGCTCTACAATAACACATAACACATCCCCTACACACTCCACTCCCTGTGAGCGAACTCATGGGTGGGTGGAACATATAAGTGGACTTATGAGTGGGCCTTGTGGGCATACTCACCGTCAGGCCCTGGGGCCCAGACCTTGAGCTGTGTAAGGGGCCCCCCAAAAATGGAGCTGCTTCCAATTCTCCCAGAACATTGAATTTTGTGACCACAGTTGCAAACAGCCTCCAGAGATCCTGTTCTACACCAGACCAGTGGAGCCAAACTGCAGCCCATCATCATCCTCATTTGGTTGTAAGTAGGCAATCTAGTATATTATTAGTGACACTAATCTATAATTTTCATTACATTAAAGGGACACTATAGTCCCCAGAACGACTGGAGCTTAATGAAGTGGTTCTGGTATCTATAGCCGGTCCCTGCAGGCTTTTTAATGTAAACACACACTGTGGGCAGCACTGGCGTTAGTTCGTATGGCAGCTCATATAGGTGGGGCATTGTGATGTCACATGGGGGGCGGCAAATACAGCTGTTCCCCATGCAGCCACAGGTGCCACTGTGCTGAGAGATTGTGATTACTCTTCACTTCCTCCCAGCTTACAGAGCAGCGCATGGGAGAGAGAGGGGAGGAGGCATGATTTAATCTTACAACAAATCCAGTAAGCAAATCTTTATAAATTTGGGTGGGATCAGATCTGTTTCCACAGTTTATTGGTGTTTACTCTGCTGTCTGTATTAATATTGAGGGATTTCTAAGTAGTAACATCAGTGTGTGTCAGCAGGGCCAGCCATTGGGGTGTGCACGCTGTGCGGTCACGCAGGGTGCCATCACAACAGAGGCGCCCGGCGGACAACACAGCTCACAAGTTGGGGACACCAGCCTATTCAATTTAAACGATTCGCTGGTGGTCCACTGGTGCGCACCAGCAGTAGGTGCAGTCAGATTATAGCATCTCCCTCGTGGTTCCGACGCTCAGTTAGTGAGTCAGAGCACAGGCTCAGAGATTCTCAGCTTGGGCTCTGACAACATTGAAAGTCAGAGCCGTGAAGGAGTGGGTATGGCAAAGAGCTACTGATTAGCATAACATCAATATCCGTTATAAATCCAGGAAAAGGTGGGCACCATTGCACTGATTTGGTGGTGCAATGGGCCTCTTGACTGGTTTTGCCCCCCAGGCCTAAGGCTGCCAGCCCTCCCCTGCTAGGCTCAAACCCCCACTACTCCTGCGATGGCAGAAATGACTATAGTACATAAAAAACAAAGAATAGAGTTACTTGCACACTATCCTAAATCCCTATGCACGTTTAAATAACTGGAGATTTTTTGTGTCACTCCAGTGGCCCCTTGAGTGTAAGCTCATCTGCTATGTCAAGGCAAACCTCTTCTGTGTGTCTTTCCCCCCCCCCCAGCACCTTAGTGGGTCTCTTTCTCCCCCTAAGCTCCTCTATGTATCTCTTCCTCCAGCCCCTTTGTGTGTCTCTTTTTCTTCCCAGCATCTCTGTCTGTTTCTTTGTCCTCCCAGCCAGGGCTGCCATCAGAAATTTGAGGGCCCCTGACACAGCTCAAGATCTGGGCCCCCGGGGCCAGCCCCGAGTCCGCCCACAAGAATGAAGTGTGTGTGTGTGTGTGCATAGTGGATGTAGAATGTGTGTCATGGATGCTGTGTGTATAGTAGATGTAGAATGTGTGTAGTGGATGTGGTACGTGTGTCATGGATGCAGTGTGTATAGTGGATGCAGATTGTACGTTTTGTTTAATGTATGTAATGTTTGTATGCATGCATTAGATGCAGAGTGTGTGTGAAGTGAATGTAGGTAAGTATAGTGAATGCAGAGTGTGTGTTTGTGTAGTGGATGTAGTGTGTTTGTAGTGAATGTAGTGTGTTTGTAGTGAGTGCAAAGTGTGTATAGTGCATGTAGTGTGATTGTGGTGAATGCAAAATGTGTACAGTGAATGTAGTGTGTTTGCAGCGAGTGCAAAGTATGTATAGTGATTGTAGTGAGTGCAAAGTGTGTATAGTGCCTGTAGTGTGATTGTAGTGAATGCAAAAATGTGTATAGTGAATGTGGTGTGATTGTGGTGAATGCAGCGTGTGTGTATAGTGAATGCAGTGTGTTTGTAGTGAGTGCAAAGTGTGTTTAGTAAATGTAGTGTGTTTATAGTGAGTGCAACGTGTGTATAGTGAATGTAGTGTGTGTGTGTAGTGCAAAGTGTATTTAGTGAATGTAGTGTGTGTGTGTAGTGCAGAGTGTGTTTAGTGAATGTAGTGTGTGTGTGTGTAGTGCAGAGTGCGTTTAGTGAATGTAGTGTGTGTGTTTGTGTAGTGCAGAGTGTGTTTAGTGATTGTAATGTGTGTGTTTGTGTAGTGCAGAGTGTGTTTAGTGAATGTAGTGTGTGAGTGTGTGTAGTTCAGAGTGTGTGCTTGTAAGGATGCAGTGTGTGTAAAATAGGGGGGAGGGGAGTATTTTTCTTTTAAATCTATTTGTGTATATTTTAATTGTATTCCCCCCCTCCCTGGTTCTTACCCTGCCAGGGAGGGGGGAGATCGCATTCCCTGGTGGTTCAGTGGCATGGTGGAGGGAGCCAGCCGTGGTATATTGCAGAGGGGGCCCAGCAGCACACACTGTCTTCCTTCCCAGCTCCTCTCTGACTAACTCTCCCGAGACAGCCCTGCGTTATGTGCGAAGCGTTGCCATGGCAACGCTCTGCGGCAGCAGGAAAGGAGGACCGAGTGTGCTGCGGGGCCCCCCTCTGGAATGTACAGGTAGCAGGGGGCCCCCAGTGCACAGATATATAGCGAAATTCGCTATATATATATATGTGCACATAAGGAATGTGGGGTTCGGACTGCCAGAGTAGTCCAGGCACCCCAGGACCGCCGGGCCCATGACAACCGTTATGGTTGTCATGCCCTGATGGCGGCCCTGCTCCCAGCACCTCTATTTGTCCTCCTAAGCCTCTCTGTGTCTTTTTGTCCCCATAACACCTCTGTGTGTCTCTTTGTCCCACAAACCTTGTTTGTGTCTCTTTTTCCCCTTACCCAACCACTCTGCGTATCTCTTCCCCCAGCATATTTGTGGGTCTATTTGCCCCCTCCAGCTCCTTTATGTGTCTTTTTACTCTCTCCAGCCCCTATGTGTCTCTTTGTCCCCCCTCCCCAGCTCTTCTGTGTGCCTTTACTCCCAGGCCCTTGTGTATTTTTCTCCTATTCAGCTCTATGTGCCATCCCCTCAACTTTCTGTGCCTCTTCCCCATCCCTCTGTGTGCCTCTCTCCCCCAGACCCTTAACCCCTCCTTTATCCCCCAGAACCTCCATGTGCCTCATTAATCTCCCAACCCTTCCATATGTCTCCTTAACACACAGCCACTCTAGGTGTCTCTTTAACCCCCAGCCCCTCCAAGTGACTTCTTAAACCTCCAGCCACTCCTTAAACCCCCATTTGTCTCATTAACCTCCCTGCCCCTCCATATATCACATTAACCTCCACATTTGTCTCATTAAACCCCCCAGCCCCTCAATATGTTTCCTTAGTTAAAGGAGAGATTAGTTAAATGGGAGATTGTAGCCATCTTAGTCCAGTGATGCAGATGTAAAATAAGAGATGAAATTCATATCTTATAATACCTTTTTTATTGGACTAACAGAATGTTGGAATGACAAGCTTTCGGGAGAACCTCCCTTTCTCAAGAAAGCTTGTCATTTCAGAATTCTGTTTGTCCAATAAAAAAGGTATTACAAGATATCAGTCCCTGCATGTATCTCTTTAATCCCCCAGCCCCTCCATGTGACTTCTTAACTCCCCCAAGCCCCTCCATGTGTTAAACCCCTAAGCCCTTCCTTAACCTCCCCCAATGCCAGCTCACCTCCATGTTGTAGCGTGGCCGAGCGACAGATCAGGCTACAGGAGCTTGCTCCCACTCAGCCACGCTACATTCTGAGTTCGGCATGAGGGCAGTGCTGGTCACCCGGACATTGCGCCCCCTGACGCCCTAAGTGGAGGCCTAATCTGCACAGCGGTTGTGCCGGCCATGATTGTTAAGAGGGTGTTTTGAATTACAAAAGCAAATACAAACATACAAAAAGTACACATTGCGACTGATCAACAAGCACAAAATAAAATGAAAAAAAAAAAACTAAGAATACGGGGCTTGACAGTGCTGGATTCAAAATTAAGAGGCACAAGTTAATTCTGATAACTGGATAGCAGTTCTTCCATTGATATCTACAGGAAATTGCCACTTAGCTTATTTTAAACCATCATTGTTCTGTACATATATTTGTATTATTCTAACCTTGAAAATTATTTCTGAAGCATTATTTTGCATTACATTGAAGGCTTTCATGATGTCTGTTAACATAACCTTTGTGGGAAGTGAATAATATAACTTTAATGATCCTTCTGGAAAAAAGAAAGAAAGCAAAGAGGTATTCAACTGATACATAAAATGCTAAAATGCATCAATAGTAATTTAATTAAATATATATTTATATATATATCTATATATTTATATACATACATTTGCCGTTAGAGGAGAGATTGTAGCCGTATTAGTCCAGTGCATCAGATGTAAAATAACAGATGCAATTCGTATCTTGTAATACCTTTTTTATTGGACTAACAGAATGTTGGAATGACAAGCTTTTGGGAGAACCTCCCTTTTTTAAGACAGCTTGTCATTTCAGAATTCTGTTTACAAGATAAGAATTTAATCTGTTCTTTTATATATATATATATACCGTCAAGAGAAAAATAAAGTACGCCCTTTTTGAACCCTCTTTTTACATATCAGGACATAATAACAATCAGCTGTTCGTTAGCAGGTCTTATAATTATGAAAAATTATGAAACGAGATAAACAGAGTCAAAAACACAGATTAGTGAATGAAATGTACTGTGAAAGCATGAATACCCATCATCAATTACAGACAGTACAACATTGAATGAAATGTACTGTGAAAACATGAATACCCATAATCAATGACAATACAATATTCCCAAAACACATACCCTGACTTCCCTCAGCAAGGCAAATAATTGACCTACCTCAACACAGACCTGGAAACCGACTATCAACTAGAGGAGGTCAAGTAAACAAACCAGGAACCAGGGTAGGGGGAAAACTGGGAGGGAAATATTCGCCTCCTGTTATTAATAAAATTAAGATTATACTTACACTAAAGCTAGTATAATCTACAATTTTATAACATGACAGGAGGCTTCATATTTGCTGTTTTAACGCTCAGACAGCAAAACCAAAGAACACCATCCGCCATACTAACCTAAACTTATGCGAATATATCTCCTCGGAACCCGCAGGGAGGTGTGCGATGTCTTGGAGAGATGCGCCCGCCATATCGGTGTCAGGATTACTGTTTGATCCAGCACGTAGAACTGTACAGCACAGATGACAAATAAGTAACGTATTACCGGTCCTTAGAATGGACGGATTTAACGTACATAGAATAGTCAAAAATACTAGCCGAGGTCAGGGAACACAGAAAGGGACGCAGCGATGAGGAAAGCCAGGAGTCAGGATACCAGAATGTAGAGAAGTCAATAAACAAAGCCAAAGTCAAAAACCAGGTGGAAAACTAATAACAGGAACGTGCTCTCGGACAATCACAAGGAAAACCAAGACAGGGCACTGAGCAGGATGAGAACTGGGCCTAAATACCCCTCCTTTAGTTCTGATAGGCTGTAACCAGCCTTTGACCCCAAAGTCAGTTACCAGGTTTAATTGCTGCTCAGCATTAACCCTTCTGTGGATTAGTTTGCTGTTCGGCACAACTTTTCCTGTGTGGACAGTAAATGTCATTAACCACATTTCTATAAGCGGATGAATACGTGACAATCGGCACCCGAAGTCGTAGTGTCTCTAACTGAAGTGAACCGAAAGACGTTTACACCCCACTAATGTCAACAACCAAAGAACCCTCGTGCCAAAGAAGGGAACGAGACTGTACTGTGAGCTCTGACACAAAACACAACCGAGCGAGACGCGAAGGGCGAAAAAGGAAAGAATCGTCCAAACAAAACGGAGTCGTCGTACGCAGCATAAAGGTGGGCGCGCAACCAAGATAAGCATATAAACGTTGGGTCCGACTAGAACATATAGACACCTTGCCAGTGACCATATCCGCAGAGAAAGAAAGCAGGGTGTCGACAACTAAGGCCCGAACATTCAAAACCCATCCGAATGAAAAAACAAGGCATAATAAAAGGAAAATTAATTCAAAGTCAGTGAATGGAAAAAACAAACAAAAAAAAAATATTTCAGACCCTGTGGTCCAGATGGGACCGGTCCAGGGAAACCAGGAAACTAGGTTTGATTCTGCCATAGCGGAGACCGTAATACCAAAATACCAGCAGACAGAGAAACCTGCAATAAGGCCCTGGGACCAACACAAACGGAGGAAACTTGTCAGCGTCTCCGTGATGAACACCCTTGGAGGGAAACGTCCCTCGCTGAGCAAACTGATCCGTTAGCCAGCTGAAGCAGGGTGGGATCTGACAGGTCATCCAAAGGCGGGCTCCTCCCAGGTGCATGATGCCGTGCACCTCCGCTGCCTAGCTCGTCCGGAGGAGGATGCAGCAAACGGAAATTCCTCCACCAAACTCCAACTCGCGAAGGATCCCGCAAGCCTTTCCAGTCAGAGGATGTTGAATTCCGAACCATCTCCAACTAGGGAATTACTCGGATGCCGAAAGGCCTGCGAGGAAGAAGTGAATCTTCAGGCCCTGTGTGGCCCCGTAGCGAAACAGTCTGGGTATGTCCCATAATCGAGACAGCGAGGAGGTCCACCCTACGTGTCCAACCTCCTCCGGTCCCGACACCGAGTCCTCCACGAAAGCCTTACCCGATGTTTGAGGCCTCGGGCAGTGGAAGGCATTGGAGGCACCCCCTTGCGTCCATCTGACCTCCCGAACTCTACTCCTTCAGCTGTAGAGGGGGTCGATTTCCCCTGGATGAACACGAAAACCAGGGACTCAAACAAGTGAAACGCAGAGTGCGCCTGACGTTTCGGCCTGGGAGGCACCTCGCAGAGGGTCCAGCAGCCCGTCCAGGTAGGCTGTACAGAGAAACATCCTAAATCGGAGAAGTGCCCTGACCGGGTCCAAACGC